TGTGTCACCTGCTGACCCACAAAAGCACTCTTTACCAGGAACCTCAGAGCCACACTGCCTATGATCCAGAGAGGGCAACAGCAACCAAAGAATGGAGCACCCACTCAAAGAGAAGGCCAGATAGCTACACCAAGTAACTCCTCGTCCAGGCGGAGGTGGCAAATGCCTTTAATTCCAGCACTCTGGAGGCAGAGGCAGGCAGGTATCTGTGAGTTCAAGACCAGCCAGGTCGGTCTACAAAGCCAGGACAGCCAGGGCTATACACAGAGAAACTCTGCCTCAAAACAACTCCCCCACAACCAACCAACCAACCAACCAAACAAACAAACAAACAGAAAACCTATTACCAAATAACTGATTTTTTTTTAGTCTATAAAATACTTATAAATAGTTTTAGAATCTTTTGTTTCTCTGAAAATGTTAATGTAAATTTTCCTCAAGTTATTTAAGTAATTTGAATTTGGTGGAATGTGAAGAAATATAAGTAGTTGGGTGTTGGTGGCAGATGCCTTAGTCCTAGCACTTGGGAGGCAGAGGCAGGCAGATTTCTGTGAGTTGGAGGCCAGCCTAGTCTATTGAGTTCCAGGACAGCTAAGGCTATACGAGAAATGCTGTCTCAAAAAAAGAAAAGAAATACTCGGAAACAAACTGAAGAAGTCAGCAAGCACTTGTATTTTATTTTATTTTATTTTTTTATTTTTTTTATTTTTTTTATTTTTTATTTTTTATTTTTTATTTTTTTATTTTATATATTTTATATATATATATATTTTATATATTTTATTTTTTATTTTTTTGTGACAGGGTTTCTGTGTGTAGCCTTGGCTGTTCTTGCTTTGTAGACCAAGCTGGCCTTGAACTCACAGAGATTTGCATGGGATTATAGTCATGTGCCACTGCACCCAGCTCATGTACATAGTTCTTTAGACTTTGCAAATTGGATAGTCTCTGTTCCAACTGGAGGGTCTGCCACCTCTGCTGATCTAGTGCCAAAGTAGCTACAGACAGTATGTGGCTGAGTGCATTTTCAATAAAACTTTACACGCAAAACAAGGGAAGGGACACTTTGCCAAACCCTGACCCACTGTATTTCCATCCAGAATTAGATTAGGCTATTTGCTTTTGTTACTTTTTTGTGGTTGAGATAAAATATCACGATAAAAAAAAAAAAAAAAACAACTTAGAGAGGGCTTAATTTTGGAAACAAGCTTCTGTCTACCTTCTTATTGTTTATCAGATTATATTTAATATTTAGGACCAGAGGAGTCATATGATCTGATTTATGGGAAGCAGGGTTGTTGGTTTTTGCTGTTATTTGTTTTCATTTAGTAATTTGTCTTAATTTGGAGTTCCCTTGAATTATCATCTTCCTGCCTCAGCCTCCCACATTGATTTGTATTTTTCAAAGATCTTTGTGAGGGGCAAAGGAAGGGAGCTAGTAGAATATGTTCTAGCATGCATGAAATTTTGGGTCTGATCTTTAGCACTCAGCAGGCAAGAAGATGAGACGCTTAACACCATCTTCAGATACACAGCAATTTGTGGGACAGCTTTGTCTCATTTAAAAAAAATTTTTTTTTTTTTTTTTTTTTTTTTCTGGCAACAAGGTGCAGGAAAATCCTGCAAAGAACAGGGACTATAAGAGGCAGGGAACACCAGAAGGCCTTAGAGATAAAAGGCTTCCTTTGTTTTTGTTTTCTGAGATATAGTTTCTCTGTGTAGTCCTTACTGTACTGGACCTTACAGAGATCCACCTGCGTCTACCTCCCACATTCTGGGATTAAAGGCTTGCATCAGTACACCCAGCTAAGAATTATCTTTCTTTTAAGTGTATTTTTATTTTTTATGTTCATTGGTGTTTTGCCTGCATGTATGTCTGTGTGAGGGTGTTAGTTTCCCTGGAACTGGAGTTACAGACAGGTGTGAGCTATCATGTGGGTGCTGGGAATTGAACCCTGGTTCTTTGGAAGAACACCCAGTGCTCTTTACTGCTGAACCATCTCTCCAGTTAAGGATTCTTTTTAAAACATACTGGGACAGCTTATTAGTCATCCAAGAGTAAATACTACATAGACAAGTGGATATGTGAATCTGGGGCTCTACAGTCTAAGTAAGAAAGAGTCTGGAAACCAGCCATTATCTATATGGTGCTTTAACAAGACCTAAGGGAGCAGGCATGGTGGCCCATGTGTAATCTTAGCATTTCCGAGGCAGGCAAGGGAGTGTCGACCCTAAGTTCCTTGCCAGGCTGGACTACATATTAATGCCCTGAAGAAAAGTAAGGGAGAAGAGAGGGCAAGAGGCAGGGAAGGAGGGAAAGAGAGGAAAGTCAACAACCTAAGGGTACTCAGGATGTCATTCCGTGGTAGAATATATAAGGCTTCTGATAGTTTTGATCCCTATTGTCATCACCTCCACCCCTAAATGAGTGTGTGTGTTTGTGTGTGTGTATGTGAAAGTATGCCAATTCAAAAACCTACCACCATTTAAGGACAGAGTGGTTTAGGGTGTCATAATGCTACTCAGAATGGCATGCCATTTGAAGTTTCTGAATTGCTTGTTTCTGGAATTTTCTGTTTAGTGTTTTTAGACCACAGGTGATGTGGGTAATTGACACTTTGGAAACACAGACATGGAAAATAGAAGATTATTATATGTAAGCATTCCCTAAAACATTAAGAAAAAGGTAATTCAACACATCAATAGGTGGAAGTTAAAACCAAGAAATTAAGCAGGAAGGTGGTGGCATACCTTTAATCCCAGCACTCAGGAGGCAAAGGCAGATCTTTGTGAGTTTGAGACCAACCTGGTCTACAGAGTGAGTTCCAGGACAGCCAGGACTACACAGAAAAAACTTGTCTTAAAGACAAAACAAATCTCCCCCCGCCCCCCAAAAAAAAAAAAACAAAAACAAACCGAAAACAAAACAAAAAACATGCCAGGAAATTCAAGTAAAATCCAGATAACCAACCAACCAACCAAAGAAAGAAAAACCATAGAAATAGAAGTAAAACTATAGGCGCGCTATTTTTAAACTCTACTTTATTTGAGGTTCTTTAATGCTGCCACCTCCCTTCCAGGCCCCAGAGAGAAAGAAGGTTAGAGGGGGAAAGGGATGTAGGTGTCTTTATACTTAGTTTCGATGGGTTAGGATGGTTGGGTTCTTTGGGAAAATACCAATCCCAGGTCGTCAGGATATCCAGCAGTCCAGCAACAGCAGATGCAGCAGGAAAAGCCAGCAGCCTTTTTCTTCCTGTCTCTCGAAGCCCTCCTTCGTTCTGTAGGCCCTCATATTTATACCCTTTCTAAGTCCTCAGAATTAAACCACGCCCCTCACAAGGCAATCATCAGCTATGGACATATTAAAAGCAACTCTGTATCCCACACTTGGGATTAAAACAAAAACCTGTTTACATAACTGAGTTTTTAAAGATCCCAAAATTTCCACTACATTAGCAACTATTAGCAACCAGTGACACACAAAATTTAAAAATGAACAAAATTTTAAAATGTCATCAAGCACAGGTACAAAACAATATTCAGTTGTAATAAACGAAGGTGAGACTGTGGGAAATGGGAACAAAAACCAGAACAAGGGGCTGTGAGCTCAATGGGTAACTCTGTTCTCTTCTTATACCATAGAGGTCAAATGGGATTGAAGTCAGGTGGTTGGGCTGGACGGCAGGACCCTCAGTAGCTGAGCCATTTCATCCAATGTGGCTTGCCTTTGTGAATAATTCAGAAAGTCTGTTCTTTCTCCAAGGAGTCCTTACCCTCTACAGCTCTTGCCACTATTTCGACATGTTTGTTAGAGGATTGTTTCGCCTGTGTGTTTTTGGGTCTCCTCTCTGATGTAAGGCACAGGAGAGCAGGACTTTTCTTTTTTTCTTATATCCTCAGGGCTTAGATGGTGCTTGGTCTATGGTAAACATTCAGTAAATATTTTCTGAATGAAATAAATGTGTTTTAAATAAATGTCCCACTCCATTTTCTTTTAACTTTGTTTTATGGAGATTTTTATTAACAATTTTTTTTCTTTTAATTTTCTGGTTGTCAAATGTATTGGTCTTTTTTTTTTTTTTTTTTTTGCCTTGTTTTTACATTGCTCTTAAGAATACTACCTACTTCCTCTCTGTTCTGGCCATTTGAAATTCGCTAGGCTTTTTTTTTTTTTTTCCTGTTTTTCGTTTTCCACTTGAGATCTTTAATCAATAATGATTACATATGTATTTTATGCATTATATACGTGCATATTTTTTGTGGAGTCTGGGGTTGGATCTAGTTTTTTTGAACAATTACCCTTATCAGTAAATTTTTTTTTCTTTATTTGGTTCATATTTTAGGCAGAATAATTTCTGTGTGTGTGTGTGTGTGTGTGTGTGTGTGAGATATGTGCATGTGTGAGAATGTATATGTGGTGTGTGTATGTGTGATGTGTGTATGTGTGATGTGTATCTGTATGAGTGTGTATGTGTGTATATATGTGGTATGTGGTATTTGTGATGTGTGTTATGTGTGCTGTGAGTGTGTGTATTGTGCATGCATATGTATGTGTGTGGTCTTGTGTATATTGTGTGTGGTGTTTGTGTGTTAGTGTGTCTGTGAGTATGTGTCAGTGTGTTGCATGTTCATGTGGTATATGTTTGTATGTGTGTGTATATGAATGTGTGTTGTGTATGTGCCTATATGTGTATGTGAGTGTGTATGTGTGTGTGTGTGTGTGTCAGTGATTGAGTGTGTGTATGGGGGAGTTAATAGGGATTGAATCCAGGGCCTTGCCCATGAGAGCCATATTTATCTTCCGGAATTTTTTTTTTAAAAAAAGTCAATAAATGCTGATTAGGGAAATTAGGAGTTAGTGGTGTTTGTAATTTCTCCCCCAGAGAGCTTTCTGTCTGTAACTCCTCTTCCAGAGGGTAACATTGCTTTTCATATAATATCAATACAGTCGTTGGTAAGGTACTGAAATCACTCTGGTCTGTGGATCTGTCTCACACTAGGGAAGTGCACAGGCAACTGCTGAGGAACTTGAGTCTTCAGAGCTTCCCAAGCTTCTGAAGAACAAAGGTGTGTTGTGTAAGCCGGCCACACAGACCAAGGCCATCTCTTGCAGACCATACACACACCATGCTGCATGCCAGACAGGTAAGTGTCCTGGCACTGTGTATAAGGTTTGTTTTTTGCTTTGTTCTTTTTTTAATAAAAATAAAGACAGTAATTTCTTGAGTGTGAAATAGTAATTCCTGGATTATAGACTTTAAATTAATATGCACAGAGAGTATGGCATTTAGAGTTAAACATTTCATACATGTGTACATTGCTCTTTCAAGATGTGTAGGTAATTATAATTACTGACATTCATAATTGCTTAAAAGCATTACTGATTGAGCCTTAGTTCTTCTCTTTCTCTTTTTTAGACTCTGCTTTTAATTATTTAATTATCAGTTACTAAAAAGATAGATCTGGAGTGTTGGTGATAGAAAATTGTATGAACTCTTACATGGAAAAGCTGTAAAGCATTTCCCCAATCAATGGTAATGCCTAATCCCATACTTATGTTTTCAGTTATTTTAATAGCCAGCTCTGCCCAAAGTGTGTAGAATTCATATATTCCAGGTAAAGTGCTCTACCTCTGAGCTGTACTCTAGTCCCTAAATGTTGTTTTCAACTTCTAGATTTTAAGCTTTATAGGCAACGTTGAGTTAAGCTGTGTTAATGATCTTTGTCCAGTTTTTCATAACACATCTGTTGATACTATATTATACATGTTCATATCATAACACTGACTCCAGTATTTCCTTCAGATTTACCTCTGCCAAATGGGAAAAATGAAGAACCTGATTCTCCACCTGCAAAAAAAAAGAGAATAGGCTTTTTCCAGACTTATGATGCAGAATATATAAAATTTGGTTTTATTATCTGTTCTGGATCAAAGGAAAGTTCGCCAAGACTACAGTGTGTCATTTGTGGAGAGATCTTACCAAGTGAAAGTGTGATGCCAGTAAGCCTTTCTAACCATTTGAAAGCAAAACATTCAGAATTGGAGAAGAAGCCAGTAGACTTTTTTGAGGAAAAATCATTTGAAATGGAATGTCAAAACAGTTCTTTAAAAAATTGTTTACTAGTTGAAGAGTCACTTGTGAAAGCTTCTTATTTAATTGCTTTCCAAATTGCTGCCAGGAAGAAGCCATTCTCAATTGCTGAAGAATTAATTAAACCATATTTAGTAGAAATGTGTTCAGAAGTTTTGGGTTCAAGTGCTGGAGACAAAATGAAAACCATCCCTCTTTCTAATAACACGATTGGGTGCAGGATCAATAAACTGTCTGCAGACATTGAAGACCAGCTGGTTCAGAAGATCAGAGAGTCCAAGTGGTTTGCCCTGCAGGTAGACGAGTCATCAGAGACCTCAGATGTCCCCCTTCTCCTCTGCTATGTTCGATTCATCGATTATGACTATGGTGATGTGAAAGAAGAATTACTATTTTGCACTGAAATGTCTTCTCCAAGCACAGATCTTGAGGTGTTCGAACTAATAAATAAATATTTTGAGAGTAGATCTCTGAATTGGAACCATTGTGTTGGTTTCTGCACTGATGGGGCTGCGAGCATGACTGACAGGTGTTCTCGTTTAAGGTCAAAAATTCAAGAAATTACCAAGAATACTGTGACATTTACACACTGTTTTATTCACCGTGAACACTTAGCAGACAAAAAGCTATCTCCATGTTTACATGAAATTCTTTTGCAGTCAGCACAGATTTTAAGCTTTGTAAAGAGCAGCGCCTCAGATTCACCAATGTTGACAGTTTTGTGTGAAGAGGTGGGGTCTGAGCACATGAGTTTACCACTTAATGCTGAAGTATGCTGGTTGTCAAGAGGGAGGATTTTAACAAGATTATTTGAACTGAGACATGAAATTGAAATATTTTTAAATCAGAAGCATTCAGAGTTGGCCAGGTATCTCCGTGATGAGGAATGGGTTGCAAAGCTAGCCTATTTAGCAGATATATTTTCACTTATAAATACATTAAATTCAGGTCTCCAAGGAACCATGACTACTTTTTTCAATTTGTATAATAAAGTTGAAATATTTAAGAAAAAGCTAAAAACATGGTTGAAGCGCACACAAGAGGGTGATTATGATATGTTTCCTTTACTTTCTGAGTTCTTAGACTCACCAGATGTGAGTGTGAAAAACATTACTTGCATTGTTTTCCAGCACCTGGAAGGACTTTCTCAGCTATTCCGTGACTGTTACCCACCAGAAAAGGACTTGCGTTCAGGAAATCTGTGGATCGTCAATCCCTTTGCCAGTAATCAGAATAACAGTCTCACTGACTCTGAAGAAGAAAAACTAGCAGCATTATCTTCAGATAGAAGATTACAGTCAGCATATAAGTCAATGTCTGTAACCCAGTTTTGGATAAACGTAAAGACAAGTTACCCAGAGCTTCATGAAAAGGCAATGAGACTCTTACTGCAGTTTTCAACCATCTGTTTGTGCGATGCCACCTTTTCAGCCTTGACTGCATCAAAACAAAGGAACCTGCTGGGTTTTGGTCCCGCCCTAAGACTTGCAGTTACCTCATTAGCTCCAAGGATAGAAAAGTTAGTAAAAGAGAAAGAGTAGTATCCATATTGCTTATCATCAGAGTCCTTAATTTTGTGTTAAATTTTGTATAAGTATCCTAAAATACAGTATTTGTATTTTCAGTGATTAAATGTTTTAATATTTTTTCTTTGTTGTACAGGGACTTAAGAATTATGGGACTTAAGCATAATTATATATAATTTTAATAACATAAGGGAGAAAATGAAGCCTTTATATTGGTGATTGTTCCTGGAGTTTCAGAGGAAATGTCTTGCCTAGGGAGTCCCCCAGGAGACCAGACCAACCCACTTGTCCCAGTACACCAGTGAGAGGTGAGCAGCGGTGAAGGGCAGAGAGAGGCTGGGTCAGCATAACCAGGTTAGGAAGAACAGAATAGGATTCAGTGGCTGCACCTCAACAAATTGTTTTGTTTTGTTGAGACGGGGTCTTTCTACAGAGCCCTGGCTGTCCTGGAGCTCATCATGTAGACCAGTTTAGCCTCAAACTCAAGAGAGATCAGGTTGTCTCTGACTGCTGGGATTAAAGGTGTTCAGCACAGCGCCACCTTAGTCTTGAAGGGACTAACAGGGACTTTGAACTATCATGGAAAAGGTAACGATAGAGGGTTGGAGTATGCCCAGGGCTGCGTCGTGGTAAGGTCGGTGGTCTGATTGATCCTTCCTTCAGCTCTGGTTCTGCAAATGATTCTGGAGGAATTCCCACTGCCATCACTTTGGGGGAGCAGTCTGGGTTCTGTGAGATAACTGCCCCTGGTGCAGCCTCACCATAATGGCAATGGCCCTCGTTTAAGGCGTGATCCATGCTGCCAAGTCCCCTGTTGCTTGGGGCTAGTTTTGGTCCTTCACTGTACAGTGTGTTTTATGGGTCGTTTCAGTTTTAGAGTTCAAGGTAATTACAGGAGAAAGTGACTCAGGAAGAAAAGTGGCAAAATAGAGCTAGAGGGAGACAAAACAGAGTTGAGTAAGGCCAGCAACCAGTGACCTCCTCTATGACCAAGTCGGTGGGTGCACTTTAAAGACAAGTTTTAGTCACCCGCCAGGTACCAGCGCTCAGAAAGTTATTTGTGATGGAAAGCAGATCCAGCCAGGTGGCCAGCAGCAAGGATGGGCAACAGGTAGGTGGAGACCATCATTTTGGGTTTCCTTGGACCTCTAGACCAGGGCTTGGGAAGTTTTTGTTTTTGCTTATTTATTTATTTATTTATTTTTTTGGATTGGAGACTGGGCTTTGCAGTGTAGCCCTCACTGGCCCTAGTGTGGGTTCTTGCTGTGTAGTCCAGGCTGCCTGTCATGGACAGTCCTCAGGCCTCATCCCTTCTAGTGCTGGGATTACAGGTGTGTTCCATCATGCTTGGCTGTAGCCATCTTTCATAGGTCAGATAGTATTCTGTGGTTCAGCCATAGATGGTATACAAACATAGGTCTGGTAAACACTGTTACCCTTGTACACTGAGAGTAATTTTTGTAATTTTTCAAGTGTGGAAATTCCTTGAACATTGTTTAATCATTTTTAGGATTTTTATTATTATTTTCTTTTTTGGTGTGTTTAAGAACTCAGCAACTGGCCAAATTTGGCACCTTGTTTTCTGCCGGTGCTGGCAAGTAAGTGAACTTTAAACATCTTTCTCATTTTTCTTTCAGTTGGGTGATGGGAAGAGCAGGTATTTTAGGCATAGGTGGACAAGTAACTTCTAGGTACTGGTTACTGCTTCACTGCACATTAATTGTATGGTTCACTGATTTACAAGTAACTTTATGAAGGCCAGTGTGCAACCTCCTTGTAGGTGTAAACCCAGAGGGACTGGATGGTGTCAGATTCTGGGCGCTAACGGCCGGGTCACGTGACCAGATCCCTTCCCTACCCCTCGCTTGTTTGCTTCCGTCCAAAGTGTGAGACTTCAGTGGGCGGACCTGGAGGGGGTTGGCCCTCAGTGGACGTGTCGGGGGCCTCCTGCGGCGGGTCTGGAAGTTGGGAGTAGCAGGGCGGGTGGGTGGGGCAACTTGTGGTCTTCCGGGCAGGGAGGGAGGAAGGAGAGTCCAGGAAGGCTGGGGCTGCCATGGCGCTCATTCTCTGCGCGCTGCGGTCCCTGCTCGGCGTCTTCTTCGCGCTCACCGGCGCTGCCAAGCTCTTGCAGGTGTCAGCCGCCGTGTCACAACAGATGGTGAGCTGCACCCAGGGAAGGACGGCCTGTGCTCGGTTTTCGGGCACCAGGGCGCCTGGGCCTTCCCTCAACTTTTCTACATCTTCTCCAGGTGGGAGGGGCCGAGCATGCTGTCGCCAGGCCGACTTAGAGCTGAGAAATGATGGGGGCCCTGGAAGACGAAGTGGGAAAGTGAGCTAGCACACCTCCGCATCCCACACCCACCACCCACTGTTCCAGTTGGGGAGGTTGGTGAGGCAGAATTTTGTTTTTATTTTTTATTTGAGACTGGCCAGGAACTCACTATGTAGACAGGCTGGCCTCGAATTTGCAGAGATCCACCTGCCTCTGCCTCCGGAGTCCCGGGAAACGTCTTGCATCACCTTAGATATCTCTTATTTTAAACCTGGAAATGAGCCTTGAGGGTAAAAATTTAATTTGCCAAAAGATGACAGCTAGTCAAGCAAGGCCTAACGTAGACTAAGCTAACCTAGACTCCACCGACTGTAAGGGAGCCTAGAGGTCCCCTACTAGTTCCTTATCCCGTGAAGGGCCATCAGTACTACAAGCCCGCAGAGAGGCCAGGGGCTGTGGAAGACCCTTGTTGCCTCCTCCCAAAACTGCATATACTCTTTTTTTTTTTTTTTTTTTTCCTAACTTAGGGTGATCAGTTCTTTGGGGCAGATATGGTAAAAGCCAGACAGCTTAAACTCTGCAGCTGTGTCCTGCCTGTAGACACATAATTCTCCAGGATAGCTGTCACTGTAGCCCAACAGAAAATCATAAGTGTAGAACTAGTGATTTTTTTTTAAATTCAGCTGTGGGCTGAATTCAGTACTGTAGCAATATAGATGAGGACATAATGTTACATTGTCAGAAGACTGGACACCTGGTGGAGTTTCCTCTGGAGGGCAGAGTAGGAGAGGCAAGATTGCTATCAGACAGTAGGAAACAGCCCTGAGTGTGGAAGGGTGTGTATGGCTAAGATGCATTACTTTAGACCCCCTCAGCTGTCCCTTGTGCCTGCCACAGTGGGATCAGAACCGACTAGGAGATGGAAGGTGGAAACTATTCTTTAAGGAGCCTTTCTTTCCGTCTCTCCTCTAAATCTTCAGCATGACGAGAAACTAGGCCTGACACAAATTATCTGTGGCCCTTCCCAGGCTCTAGACGGGAAGGCCCAAGCTGTGTTCCCTTCTCCTGGGATTTGAGGCTGGGTTATCATCTGTGGAGAGGTCTAGGAGATAGAGGCATCCTTACATCAGTCAGCCCCTTTCTCTTGGGGAGTGACTGCTTCTAACTCCGAAGGTCAGCCATGTAGGGCGGCGCCCTCCTCCCTGTGTTCTTAGGCTTGGATCTGGCCTCCTCTTGTTAAGGGAGCTGGTACCTCCCGGCACTGCATCTTTGAGAAACACTGCTGACAGGTATTCCCCGTCACTCGTAGAAAGCCTTGTTCGAGCAGTTTGCTGAGGTGTTTCCACTGAAGTTGTTCGGCTACCAGCCAGATCCTATAAACTACCAAAGAGCTGTGGGCTGGCTAGAACTGCTGGCTGGGTTGCTGCTGGTCGGGGGTCCACGTGTGCTACGGGAGATCAGTAACCTGCTCTTGATCCTGCTCATGATGGGTAAGGGGGCAACTGGGGTCTCCTGGGGATGATGGAAAAATCCAGCTCCTATTCCTTACTGCTACCCTCTTTTCTCTGGGACCAGGAACACTTCCTGCTCTGCCATAGCTTCCATAATCTTGAGACTAGGTGTTTTTGGAATGTCATGGATTGGGTCCTGGCCATTGGAATACTGCAACATGCTTTCCCCATTATTTCTGTGGCCATATAGAGTTCCAGTGTGAGCAGGTAATATAACCTTGAGCTTCTATTCGCTCCTGGAGAGTTGGAGCAGCAGCTTCCACTTAATGTATGGTGTATCTCGTGGGTGTGGGAGCAGCAGCAGGAAAGCTGGAGTCCCCTGACAGAAGAGGCAGAGAATTTCTCTAGAAGAGCCTTTCTTAGAAGTTGGGCCAGCAAGAAGTGCTAGCGTACAGGACAGCCGTACAGACAGGACAGCCACTGCTTCAAAGGCTTGACACCCTGGTGCTGTTTTACAGCCCTTGGCCAGTGTGACATTCTTTCCATTTCTGAAGCTTTCCCCATTTCCAGTTCATTACCACACTTTCACCTCAAGCCTGTGGGCCCCATTTTGAATCTTCCAGTAGATTTAAGATTATCAAGAAAGAAGCTAGGGGAAGCCAGTTTCCACATCCCCATCTTCCCACCTCAACTGTCCCCCACTCCAGGGCTAACTTAGTTCAAGAGGCTTTTAATCCTTTCCTGCGTCCTGGAAGTGTATGGAGGGATGTTTAGTGGGAGGGCCAGCCTGGGCTGGAACCCCTGAGTTTTGGATTTCCTGGGTGCACTTCCTTTCCGTTCTAGGGGCCGTCTTCACTTTGGTGGTTCTGCAAGAGTTGCTGAGGACATACATCCCAGCTGTTGTCTGTTTGGGGCTCCTGGTGCTGCTGGACACCTGCCAGTTCTTAGCTTGAACTGAAAAAAGTGGTCAGATGTCCTAGCAAGAAGATTCCCGGTGCACTCGGGAACCCTGGGACCTGAGTCTTCATGCCATGCAGTTACCACAGCAGGAGCAGTTGCAGCGCAATGTCAGGCCCACAGTCATTCAGTGTAAAAGAGATACCGTGTCTAAGCCTCAATCTCCCCTAATAGCTATGTTGCCCGGTTTTGAAGGGGGCATTAACATTCTTCATGCCATGTGGAAACAGGAAAACAAGCAGAAAAGAAACCAAAACCACTTCCGATTCTAATATCACACAAGCAACTGTTTCAGTGCTTTGGTGTTAACTGTACCTCTTGACTTTCTTTATGATTGTATGCAGATGCATAGTGTTTTATTTATTTATTTTTTTAATAAAATGAGTATAGCCCCTTTTATTGCCTATTGTTAAGATCCAGTATTCTTTAACATTGCTGTCTTTTTACTATATCAATGTTAATGGCTTTAAGTACTCTATTTTAGGAACGTATGGAGCTAAGGAGGAAAAGTTGGCTGAGGTACTAGGAGCACTTGCTGCTTTTGCAGAAGGCCAGGGTTCGGTTCCCAGCACCATGGCAGCTCACAACTGCCTCTAACTCCAGTTTCAGAGGATCTGGTGCCCTCTTCTGGCCTCTTGGAGCACCAGACATGCATAAGGTACATCTATATCAAGTAATACAACCTAAATACATACATATATATATATATATATATATATATATATATATACACACATATATATATATATATACATATATATATGAAAGCAAAACTTATAAATATTTTTAAAGGACGTGTTGTACTTACTCCACTTCCTCTGTCCATGTTTCCTCCACCCTGTGTGTGTGTGTGAAGCTCACAGTAAATCACCTGCATATTTCCTTTCCCCAGAAGAAAGGGTGCTGTTTCAAAAAGCATTCACATTTGAAGTCTGCTTTAAAATTTACAAGTTTACCCTGTGGGGTGTAAGTGTCTGATTTCTGCCTGTGCTCACCTGGGTCCCGTGAGAGATTTCGTGCCATTTCTCTCTTACACTTGCAGAGCACCTGCTAAAGTGATGAGGCGTGGCACTCAGCACAGTGTCCCATAGCACCTAGGTGGAGGTGGGGGACAGCCAACTCCTGGTAATACTCAGGGCTCAACACTCTCTAAATCTGGTTGTCAGGGGGGAAGCGGGGAGAAATGGGATGAATGCTCATGGGAAAAATATTAGGGCATCCAGCGTCATGTTCCCAGACCATCTTTGCCTGAGTCTGCTGGAGTCCTTTTGGAAAGTGATCATTCTTCCATGAGGGAAGATAGTGAGGAAGAAGGATTTGAGTTTTGCAGTTCTGGAGCCTTAACTCTCAGCATCACATAGGATGGACAAGCATGGCACTGAGCCTTACCCCTGGTTGTCTCTTCTGAGAAGAGGGCTCACTGAGTTGCCTAGGCTGGCCTTGAACTTTGTAGCTTAAACAAGACTTGCACTTGAGTTCTCCTGCCTCAGCCCCTCCAGTAGTTGGGATTACAGGCCTTCACTAGGGCCAGTTGGAAGGTTAACTGTGCACCTGTTTTTAGCTACCTGCCTATAAGATGCTTTGGGTATAGGAATATTAGCTTTAGGGAACACACAGGTGAGGGTCGTATTAGTCTAGCTCATGTTCAGTACTGAATGGTAGTTCCCACTGTGCCCTCACTTGCATGAATCTCAGACTGATAATTCTTAGTGGATCTTGTTGTGTCTGAAAGCACAATGATGTGCTCCACCTGCAGCAAAGGTAGAGAGAGCAATGGATAGATCATAAATTACATGACTGTTACATTAGGAGGGGGCTGATGGGCTGGGTAGTGGTGGCACATGGCTTTAATCCCAGCACTCAGGAGGCAAAGGCAGACTGATCTCCCTGAGTTTAAGGCTACCCTGGTCTACAGAGTGAGTTTGAGGATAGCCATGGCTACACACAAAAAAATCCTCTCTCCAACCCACCTCCCTAAAAATAGAGGGGGCTGATAAGATGGCTCTGGAGAAGGGCAGTTCCCAGCAAGCCTGATGACCCGTTTCACCCAGGACCTACATACCTACATAGAGCAGGCGCTAGCAACCAGAACATCCAGAGAATCTGGTGGTAGGAGAGCGAGAGCCAAGGTAGCTCTAGCTGACTTTGTCCTAGGAAAAACAGGTGCCGGGGAAGCTCAAAGGCAGAAATTCAGATTCCAGTGCTAGAAGAGACTGAATTTGGGAACTGAGAGTATATGGAAGTGTCAAAAACATGAAGACACTGGCTTATGCACTTCTGCCCCTTAGGGAGAAGGTGAGACTCCACCAGGGTATTTGTGTGGAGTGCGTGTGTGGGTGCAGGTGTTTATCTGTGTACGGCCTAGAGGGGACCGAGGCTGAGTTAGGAAGCCTCTTCCCAGTGTCAGCCAAGATTCAGAGTTTTACTTGTTCTCTCATCAAATATCCCCACGGGGTAGTTAAGCCTCCATTTTACAGCAGCAGAGACAGACTCAGTGAGGCTGAGAAATTAGCTCAGGGCTTCATGGCAAATAAACCGTGTGTGGCCAGATTTCCAGGCCTGTGCCCTTGCTGCTGCTGCTGCTGCCGCTTCTGCCTTTCTTCTTACTCCTGCTCCTCTTCCTTCTTCTATTTCTCAAGACAGGGTTTCTCTGTATCCCTGGCTAGCCTGGAACTCACTCTGAAGACCAGGCTGGCCTTGAACTCGAAGATCCTCCTGCCTGTGTCTCCCAAGTGCTGGGATTAAAGGTGTGTGCCACCACTACCTGGCCACAATGTGGTCTTACATCACATAGCTGTGCCCCTACATGTCTGACCTGTAGTCTTTCTATGAGGGACCTCCATCCTGCCAGTCAGTCATCAGGTGGGAAATATCCATGTTCTGTGGACTCCTGCCTTTTTTTTTTTCATTTTCCCACAGCTTGTCACCAAGAACTCTGTAATACACCCTCTCCTCCATGTCCCCAGCAGCAGGTGGGGACTCTTTTTTTTTTGGGGGGGGGGAAGAGGGTTGAGACCTGATTTCTCTGTGTAGCCTTGGCTGTCCTATACTTGCTTTGTAGACCAGGCTGGCCTCAAGCTCACAGAGATCCGCCTGCCTCTGCTTCCTGAGTGCTAGTATTACAGGTATGTGCCACCAGGCCCAGCTAGGGACTCTTATGGATTGCCTTGCCTCCAGAGTCCCTCCTTGCCAGGACAGAGGAAAGGGGACTGAGGTGGGGATGGGTGTGATGGGAAGTCTTTTGGTGGCTAGGTTTCCTGTGACCTCTCCCTCCGTTTAGGGGTATGGGTGTTAGCAGCTGGCCCAGGGATGAACTGGTTCTCACTGGCAGTGTTCCTGCAAAGCTCACCAGCCTGTGCTGCCTTGGCTCCTTGGTGGACATCCTGCCATCCTGCACATGCTCAGCCTGGCTATTGTCAATCTACTGTGTAGAGGAATTTTAATCCAGTAACATGGCTGCTCTGGCAAGGGACCACATCCAAAGACCTAGGTCAGTGTGATCCAGCTGGAATACAGACATACCCTTAGTACAGACCTTTAATTCTTCTGAATAGAATTCCTCTGGCTGGAATATAGACATGACATACCTTTAATCCCTTCGGCTGGAATTTAGTACAACCTTTAATCCCAAACAATGACATCTAATTGAGGGGCAGACAAAGTGAAATCAGAGAAAGTTTTGACAGAATGAGATAGGATATGCCAACCTTTCACAGCACAGACAGGAAGGAAAAGCTAGTTAAGAGTAGAGCAGAGAAAAAGACAGATAAAGACAGAGCAAGCAGAGAGTTTGTGGAGACAGTAGAGTTCCAGAGTACAGTGCAGTTCAGTGCAGTTAAGATGAGTGCATTTGAGTTTGTGCAGCTCATTTCCTGGAGTTCAGAGGCAGTTTTCCCAGGCAGAGCAATTCAGTGAGAAGCTGAGAGAGAAGCCAGTTTGAATCAGTCAGCTTGGAGAGGAGTTTTGAGCCAGAACAGCTGAGTTGAACCAGCCAGGCTGAAAGATCCCCGGAGGGTATCTTCCGTCAGAGAGACCCCCTCCCAAGGATCAACGAGGCCATTCGGATGCAAACAGCAAGAGGCTTTTATTTTGATACACGGGTACCTGGGGCGAAAAGTCATTCGGGAGACTTCCGCGCCCCCTAGATGGGAAGCTGGGGTTTTTATAGGGTTTTAGAGCAGAAGCACTGGTACAGAATCGAGAGGCATGGTTACAGGGGGCTGATTGGTACGTTTACACGAGACCACGGTTTGCGTCAAAGTTTGGCAGGGGCACCAAGATTCCAGGAACTGGGTGGTCAAGGGGGCTATGATGACCCCTTGACGTGGCCCGCCACCTGTTATTTTGTTTTTCTCTATCTTAACTGAAACAGTCTCACAGATATCTATGAGGGTGATTAACACAAACTGTTTTTAGTTCAACAGGGGCAGCCTGACCACAGATATCTCAAGTGGGTGACACAGCTAGGATTTCTCAGTAATTTTTTAGTTTCTCATCTGGCCTTCAGAGTTTCACAAAACAGTGGTGTCTCACAAAATGGCATTAGCTATGTTTAACTTAGGGTGAGGCTGGGGTCTTTCAAGGCAGAGTTCAGAAAGAACTAGAAAGTGTAAGTTTATTCAGCAATAAGTCTCGGAGGCTGAAAACAATCTAGGCCTAGGTTAGCAGATGAAGGCTAGAAGCTGTAGCCTTAAAGGTATGAGCTTGCAGAAGATGATATTGTATGGATAATAGAAGGTTCCAGGCCCAGGCCTAGGGATAGTTAGATAGAAACACTCTGGGCCCAGCCCAAGCAGTGTATTCATAAAGCTTTGGTATGGCTCTTATCCCATCCCAATAAAAACAACATTTACACTATTGCTTTGTGGTGCTACTGATGGGAGAGAGACCTGGGCCACCTCTACCTCCTCAGTCTCCAAGCTAGGAAAGCTCTGACTTACTGCCTGCCATCATCCTGCTAGGATTCAGTGTAGAAGAAGCACTTCAGAAGGACCTAGATTCCGATTCTTTGTTTTTGTTTTGTTGTTACTATTTTAGTTTTTGGAGACAGAGTCTCTCTACATAGCCTTGGCTTTCCTGGAACTCACTATATAAGGCAGACTGGTCTGAAATCACAGAGACCCACCTGCCTCTGCCTCCCAAGTGCTGGGGTTAAAGGTGTATGCACCACCATTCCCTGCTTAAATGTCAACTCTTCAGTGATTCCCTAACTATCAGTGTAGTTGTGTGGCTGTGAATGTTGGGTACAAACAAGAATAAAAGCCTGGTGTCATGGTAAAAGCTTAAGATCCCAGTACTTAGGAGGCAGAGGCAGGAGACTTGTCAAGAGTCTACAATGTGAAAGGACCTGTGGGCTTGGTGATGGTGGCCCACACGTTTAATCCCAGC